AGAGAAGAAGAGGAGTAGTGTGCTATATGGTGAATAAGGACTGGTGTGACAGTGGAATGTGAAGCGCTGTCCTGTTCCTGGTTGCCCTGCAACACAAGGGGAATAAACACTCCATATCACTGCTATACACAGTTCAGAGGTGGCTACAGAGCAGAGTCGCTGCCTGTGTGCTGCCTGTGTTCAGAGGGAGCGACCATGTGGCGATCTTTTTCAGGTCAAGATATGTAAACTAACCACCATGCAAGAGGCAAATAAAGACTAAATTACAATGCACAGGTTGAAGGAGTCGACACTTCATTTTACTTAAGTTGTACCTTGTCACATGTGACATGAATCACTGAATCATTGAGTAGTTCATTCATATATTAATTGATTTCATTGTTCAGTTTACTTCAGATCATCTGGATGGGACAGCAGTAAGGTGGAGTAAAGGTGCAGGCAGAGGGGTACAAGTGTGTAAGAGGAGAGTGCTGCAGAGTGGGAGAGCAGATAGGAGATCGAGCAGGAGGATGTGCAGGACTCGGCTCTGGCTGTTGGCCTTTCTGGTCTTTTCCTCTCTGACTTTTCTGGCTGATGGATCTCCAATGTAAGTAGATCTGCCCTTTTCACACTCTGCCTTAAATGTCTGCTCAAAGAGGCAGAGCAGGTTAAAAGCAAAGGACAGGAAAGAGACAGGAGGAGGAAAAAATATGTATGTGCTGCCTGCATGCTTGTAGGGAGTAGCTGCACTATGCCAAGATATGTTTGTGTTCTGTATACACAAATATTAGATGTGAAGTTAAAGAAATGCTGCTGACACATAGGGGAGCATTTGCATGGTAAACTGATTTTGTAATTCTAATTCTAGTTCAGGTCCTCAATTTACATGCAACAGCATTATTTTTTGTATTTTACATTACTGTTCCTACTGTTTATGCTTTTTTATATTGTTTAAGATAAGATAAGATAAACCTTTATTGTCTGTCACAAGTAACAGAAATTTGTCTTTGACAAGCTCCGAAATAAAATAGAATAGACAAGGACACACAAAACACAATAGACATTATACAAGATATACGACAAAGCAGTGTATTTGGGTGGGACTTGAATTGTTATTTTAAACTGTTAAACTGTTCAGGGTGGTGATGGTAGTTTTAGAATGCATACCAAATGCAATCCCTTCTTGTCACTGTTTCATGACCCAACCCAAGCCAAGAAGGCCGAGAAAAACCTTAGAAAACAAATGCATAAACTAGAAATGTGTACACCGACAGTGTAAAACATATCAACAGACTTTTTGGTGAAAGTGTAACACAGGCTTTGGTGAATACTGTTCTATTGGCTTGATAGAAAACTTGACTTTACTTTTGAGTGACTGTCTTATTGACGAGGGGAATACAGAAACACAACTTCAATGGATGGGCAATCAACAAAATTCCTTTACATACTTTTTTAATATTCATAATAATGTTTTCATTAGTTAATAATTACCTGAAAATATGAATTGTGTTTTTGTTAGCTTAAAATGAGCCATTTATATCTACATATATATCTCTCCGACAGTCTGCCATATTGTTTCTACAGTAGCCCACAACGGACAAATCAAACTCTGGCTCTAGACAGGACCAACTGCGTTTTTGTGTCAGCCACCTTAGTTCTCCCACGATTGACACCAAGGAGGAATTTCAGTTCTGCAACCTCACTGGGAGATGCCATTAAATCCTATACACTGGACCTTTAAGCAACTATAAAGGGAAATTATATTNTTCTGCAACCTCACTGGGAGATGCCATTAAATCCTATACACTGGACCTTTAAGCAACTATAAAGGGAAATTATATTTAGTGATTAACTTATTTGGCGGCACGGTGGTGCAGTGGTTAGCACTGTCGCCTCAGAGACAGGGTGGGGGAGCTCCACTGTGTGGCGTTTGCATGTTCTCCCCTTGTCAGCGTGGGTTTTCTCCGGGTACTCCGGCTTCCTCCCACAGTCCAAAGACATGCAGGTTAATTGGTAACTCTAAATTGTCCGTAAGTGTGAATGTGAGCTTGAATGGTTGTCTGTCTCTATGTGTCAGCCCTGTGATAGACTGGCAACCTGTCCAGGGTGTAACCTGCCTCTCACCCAATGAGAGCTGGGATAGGCTCCAGCCCCCCATGACCGCCAACAGGATAAGCGCTTGTAGAAAATGAATGAGGATTAACTTATTGATGAATTTATTTAATACTGAAACACTGCTTTAAGGTTTTGACTGAGTTTTTAAGAGAGCCTTTTAAACCTCAAACAAAAGCTTAAATGGACATGNGATGTGCCTTTGCATTCTGGAGGAATATTAACCCACCTGTTAGTTGAAAACAACAGACACACAAAGAGCGTGTCAGCAGCTTCACCACAGTATTTATTCTGTGGTGGTGTGTGTCTCAGGGGATGTTAACCTCCCTAGCGCCACATATGCGCCCTCTAGCGACCAACCTGAGTAACATTTTTAGGAAAAGACAGTTGTGATGAAATTACATTTACTTGAATTAAACCCAGAAAAATTATGGGGTATCTGTTTTTATCCTTTTAAATACTTTTATCTTTTTTAAAGTCCAGACTTTAATCATGACTGTCATGTTTTTAATCATTTCACATGAACTGTTTTTATACCTTTTTTAACCATTTTTTAATCACATTAACCTTGACCATGAGCTTTTTAACCCATTACACACTTTAACTATACACTTTTTAACCCATTATAATCAACAAAATTCCTTTACATACTTTTGTCATCACTGTTTACAGTGTGCAGGATTAAGGAGCATCTATTGGCAGAAATGATGTTTAATATTCATAACAATGTTTTCATTAGTTTATAATTACCTGAAAATATGAATTGTGTTTTTGTTAGCTTAAAATGAGCCATTTATATCTACATATATATCTCTCCGACTATAGGCATATATACATAGACGCCGCATTGACTGCCGCTGCCTGTCAGAGCCGACGTCCTCGCCGGCCGCCATCTTGGATGGGTCTTGCTTCGCCGCCACAGTGCATTCACTTCTATTGAGGAAGGAGCTGTATGCACAAGTAAAATAGAATAACTCACTGAATTTTCAACTGATTTTCACAAGGTTTGGTTTGTTACAAACGGCACACATGTAGTTATGATACAGGATGCTTTCATACATTAAAAATACGTGATTTCATGCTTTAATACTTTCTGCAGATAGCAACAGCATGTTATTTAGGTCACAACACAGTTCTTTTATTCACCTCAACCCCAGAGTGGGATATATA